TAAAATAAAATAAATTTGAAAAAAAATGAATACAATAAAAAAATACATAATTCTTGTCAATGCCACATAGGTAATACCTGATATAAAGTAGTATTGATGAAAATACTAATAATAGTATTTAATATAATGTCCACCACGATAAAATATCAAAACCACGATATTGYGTATAGCGCCGATAATCAGGTATTGGGTATTATGCGTGCGCGCGTGTGTTAGTGTGTTGTATGCCCAGTGATGACAAGACATGTATTATACATTAAGTGTATTGGGCGGAATACGATAAAACAATGTGACTGGACGTCTGGACCGGACGAGACAGAAATACAGCATGAAGCGGGGAGAGAGCGATGGAGGATACAACAAAAACGCTAACATATATTGTAATGTACATGTACCTACATGAATGTATAATTAATATGAAATAATTTTAATCACACGTCAATGATTAATGATTATTAATAATAATCCGAATCTTTTGTACGCTTTACCTGCTTGTAGGTTAATATTGTWTTCGAATAACGATAATATGTGACGGTCGTAAAAATAACGCAATTGAATGGCGGCGAGATGCAGCTGAAACGCGAAATATTCCGTATAAAAACCCRGATTTGAGAAAACATCGCGATCAACAACAATAATGATATATAAATTATATTATGCATAAACTTATGCAACTGTAATGTTTTCGTTTTATAACACAATACACAAGTATTTTATGGATGATGTACAGTGTGATGAGAACGATGGATAGAAGAATGTTTGTTTATATGCATCATATTATATTATTATGTGTTGTTGTTATTATTATTATTATTAGACAGAGAGAGATACATGGCAACCGGTTTTCGGAAACACAGAGTACACCTATATAACGCGAGTGTATAGTGTACATATAGCTACCAAAGACATGTATAGGTATATATGCAGTCCACATGATATTATATAGGTACACTTTCTACGCGGTGCACGCCCGGGCAAGGTATTTTCGAATTTCCTATCCATCCGGCGCAGACGTGAACTAAGAAGTCGTGGATGAACGTATAGGTACTCTATACCTGGCCATTGTCAAAATATATTTACCCTCGGCACAGTGGACAGAAAAATTATTTGTAAAATGGTTTTTGATAGCGTATAGGATATCGAATATCCCACCTTTTCAAATGCGGTGTATCGTGCAAAAAAAAAAAACCGACTTTGTGTGGACCCGAGACTGGTATTCAACAAAATACGACCCTTACAAATTATTTTTGCCGTTCTTTTCAAAAAGGCAAAATCGAATTCACCGAACCCATCATCGTTTGTAAGATGTATTTCATATATTATAGGTATGTTAACTTGGTAAAAGACACTAGACGATACCCTTCGAACGCCAAAAT